ACGGCGCGAAACAACGCCACGTGACGCAACACCCGACTACGAGAGCGGAGACGACGATGTGGTGGAAGTTCCCACCACCACAGGCACCACCACCGTGTCAGGCCTCCAGCTTCTCGGCCTGCACGCATCCGTCTCTACCCTTGCCCGAGCTGCAGAACCCAAGAACCCTCGCCAGGCCCTAACCGGGCCCCACACCAAGGAGTGGCGTGCTGCGATGGATGCGGAGCTAAAGGCGCTGGAATCCCGCAACACCTGGGTTCTCGTCGATCGTGCAGCAGTGAAGGGGAGAAGGGTACTGAGTGGCAAATGGGTTTTTCGTCTGAAAACTAACGTTTCGCACCTGGCTCTTACACGATCGCGTGTTGGTGGGTTTGCACTGGAGTCACTCCTGCTGGAAGATCATTCGGCATGATGTCCTTACATTCCTATAGAACCTTCTATACTACTGCAGGTCGCTCCGAGTTCGACTTTCCTTCCTCTGCTACCATCACCAGTGCTAGGTATCATGTGTTACTCTCATTCTCCGTACGCTCCAAATGTGCAAATGTCGCCTCAAAAATATCTCCTGTATCCGTCTAGATTCGCACCTGCACACGCCTCCCGTTGTTGTAAATGCAAGCTTTCCGTTTGACCCAATCTATCTTGAGGTTGAACCGCTTCAGGAAATCTCGCCCCAAGATGAAAATCCAGGCCATTGATGTTTGTGACTGGTAGCGTCAGCTTCCACCTCAGTGCCCCTATCTATAACTATAGCGTATACTCGCCGTGGATTAGAAGTTTGCTGCCGTCCACCATCGTTGCCATAAACTGGGTCTCCTCCGAGGACTCCCAAATTTTCTCCACCGTCCCGTAGTTGCACACCAAGCGAAACGCACCATGTCCACCATCGCCTGGAGGTGTCGCCCTTTACAGAGCACCTCGATGAGTATTGGCTGATGCCAAAGATAGTCACATTTATAGGGTCATAGGGTACATAAAAAAAATCATTTTCCCTATTCCCTGCACCTGAAGCTGCAGATTCTACTTCAAACTGTCAAGAGTTAAGAGAGAAGATGCGCCAGAGGAAATTCGAGAGTATAAAATACAATTGTTATCCCCTTTAACAACTAAACCCTAGTCTAGCATATAATTATATGCATACATATATAATTTTTCACACACCCTAGGCTAGATAAGAGGTAGTCGCTGAACAACAAGAAACAAACTCAAGGTGGCTTCTTTACTCCAACCTTTGAGACAAACAAGGCCAAAAGGCTAGTCCAAGTGCTTTGCACATATGTAGATCTATATATGAAACAACTAACATCAATGAGTGAGGACCACAAGTAACTAGTCCAAGCTGAGTACAGAACCATTGATGGTCGCAAGGCAGAAGTCCCTTGGTGAAGGTGCCAGCGGTGTTGGCATCTGAGGCCACTGTAACCACGTGCGCCTGCCCGCGCTGCTGCAACTCACACTTGAAGAAGTACCGCAGCTCAACGTGCTACATATGCCCCACCATTCAAGGCTCCTCACACAACAGGATCATAGACTTGTTGTCAAAAAAGAGCACTGGGAGAGTACAAGGCGGCTCACCCAGATCGGTGAGCAGGAAAGTGAGCCATGGCCCCGGTGTAAAGCTCAGCCTCACAACTAGTGTGAACAGCTGACAACGCATGAGTCAACCTCCACGACACAGCTCCAGAGCCAAGACTGAAGCAGTAGCCTTGTGAAGACCTCAGAAGCTCAACGTCCTTTGCCCATAATGCGTCGATATGCCCAATGAGGCTGACTGGTCATTTTCTTCTAATCACAAGCCCCATGCCTGATGTGCTCGCCAGATAGTGCTCAACCCTCTTAGCGGCCTCCCAGTGGATAGGACGCTGTCTCTCGGGTGCAACAAACCGAGCTAGAATGCTGAGAGGGTATGCAAGATTTGGACGAGTTCAGGTCATTAGGTACATGAGGTAGCCCACCAGCTGTGTGTAGTCACCACTAGGCTCAGCAGGCTCGGCAGGAAGAGGAGCCCTGAGCGTATGGTCGACTGCAAGCAGAGTGGCCTGTGGAGAGGGGTAGTGAAAGCCGAACCGATCGAGGATCTGCTACACCATGTGCGACTAAGATAGTGTAATGGTGCGCGCTGCTCTGTCTCAGGTAATCCGCAAGCCAAGGTAGTGATGCAGCTCACCCAGCTCAGTGCAAGTGTGTCTCCTCTGCAGCTCGCCCTCACTGAGGCAAGTGCAACTCTGTCGGTTGTGGCCATCGACATTGTTCGCCTCAGGAGGGGGAACTGCGTCGACCTGTGGACCTCTAAGATGCCATCTCTGCCTCCATGGTTGCTATCCACTCTGAGGCCCAGGGTACCGAGACTGTCTCAATGTAGGTGTGAGGAGTCGGGATGTCAAACGCGTCTGGGTCACCCTCAGGGGCTAACAACATGGCACATAGATGAGGAACAGCGGACGCAAAGAAAGCTAACTCAAACTTCCTGACGTCACAGCCAAAGGCAAACTCACCCCCGACGGTCAAAGGACGGGCAGCGATAGTCACCAACTGAGCAGCGTAGTCAAGGCGATGGCTGGAGGCAAAGTCGGTAACAGCAGTGACAAGAGCTGAGACAGATGAAGGAGGAGCCGTAGGGTGACTGACAAGGGAGGAAAAAACATGAGATCGCAGGACAAGTTGTACGAAGGAAGTCGGAGAATGGAAGAGGAAAAACAGCGAGGGACAACTGAGGAGGAGAGGGGAGTGGAGGAGGAGAGAAACGAAGGCGCATGGGGTGGAATTTGGGAACAGGGGACGAGGAACGAGCACGAGGATCACGGAGAGTAGACCCGACGGACAAGGGATGAGCTGGATCAGGGTCTGGAAGGGGCAACGTGAGAGAGGAGGAAGGTTCACGATCAGTGGACGAACACGGAAGCCCAAGATCAACAGAATGAGGCTGCTGCGATGGCTGCTGTTGCTGCTGCTGGGATGGCGGAGAGTGGGATGGAATTGTGTCGGGGATGAACGTGGGCTCGCGCGGCCCGGGATCGGGGCCGTAGATGGTACTGCGTGGGCTTGACAGTTCATTGCCCCAATCAATCATATGCCAAGGGGGAGTGATGGCGATGTTGGCAGGGCGCTCGGCCGAGATAAACAAATGGTGGTTCGGGTTCTTCCTCATTTACCACCCTTTGTCCTTCTCGGCTGCATGAGGTGCCCCAGCCATCATCTGAGCCTCCCCATCTGCCGCCAGTTCCGCCTGTTGCGGTGCCCCAATTTCCGCCTGTTGCGGTGCCCCAATTTCCACTTGCGGTGGCCCAGGTGCCTTCCACGTTGCCCCATGTTCTACTGTTGCTTGATTCCAAGGCGATGTTCGTCCTCGTCGTCGTCGCCGCGAACTGCAGCGAGCCGACTTTCTGCCGGTACTCCTCCTCCTGGTGCTCCTGTGCCTCCTCGTCGTCGAAGGTGAGCTCGGCATAGGCGTCGACGGAGACTGGGGTCTTCGGGGTCCGACCGCCCTGCTCCTCGTCGATGAAACGCCTACGCAGCTTGTTGGCGTAGCCCTGCTGGTGCAGCCACAGCTTCCTCGCCGGCCTGTCGCGCACGATCTCCAGGCCGAGGTACTTCTGCACTGGCGAAATCTCGCGCAGCTCGAAGGCGGCCTCCAGCAGCTCCTTCAGCTCCCTCAGCATCGCGGTGCTGCTGCTGGCGGCGAGCAGGTCGTCGACGTAGACCAGCACCCAACAGTCCACCTTGTCGATGCCGACTTTGAAGTACAGAGCCTCGTCGACCTGGCTCTTCTTCCATCCGGCGCCTACCAGCACGTCGTTGAGCGCCTTGTACCACAGCAGCGGCGACTGCTTCAGCCCATAGAGGCTCTTCAGCAGCTTGCACACCCGGCCGGTCCCGTCGTTGAAGTAGTCCGGCTAACACATGTAGAGCACGCGGTCGAGCTTGCTCTGCAGGAAGGCGTTCTTCATGTCCAGCTGCATCAGGTTGAGGTCGAGGACGGCGACGATGCTGAAAAAAATCCTCCGCGTGACGTAGCTGCTCACCGATGCGTACGTCTCGTCGTAGTCGGCGCCATACACCTGCGTGAAGCCTTTCACGACCAGCCTCGCCTTCTCGCGCTCTACGGTGTCGTCGATGCGGTACTTCGTCATCAGCACCCACCGGTTCTTCATGATGTTGACGCCGCGAGGCCGCTCAACAAGCTCCCACGTGCCGTTCGCGATCAGGCTCCGTATCTCCTCGTCCATGGCGGCCTTCACTGCCTTGCCCTTCCAGCTCGCCAACGCCTCCTTCACTGTCATCGTCGAGATGTCCCAACGGTGCTCGGGGTCGGCGTGCATGTCAGGGTCGAGCTCCGGCAGGTCCTCATCCTCCTCGGCGTCGTCGTACGCCAGGTCGTCGTCGTCGATGTCATACGCCATGGTGAAGGCGGCCGGGACGAAGAAGTCGGGCGGCCTCCGAATTCGGCCTGTACGCCGTGGCCCAGGCTTGACCTCCACCACATCACTGTCAGTGGACTGCCCGGCGTCCGACAGCTTCCCTGTCGGCAGCTTCCCTACAGCCGCTCCCTTTGGCGGCATTGGCTCCTCGGCCTGCTGCTCTGTATTCACGCCGACTTGCTTGACGCCTCGTTGGCCACCAGCGATGCCCGTGGTCGGAGCCACAGGCGACGCCCCACTGCTCCCCTCATCGCCGGAGGCCGACGTCGGTGTCAGCGCGTGCGGAACGGCGACGGGAGGAGGAACGGCCTCCTCGGCGTCCTCATCAGCACGCTCACCGACCTCGGCGAGCAGAGGGAGTGTCGCGGTGGAGGTGTCCGGCGGCGAGGTAGCTGGCGGCCGCCCCAACGTGGGCCCGTGCATCGACTTCCACACCTCCAGCGAGATGGTTTCGTAGAACACCACGTCCGACGTGGTGACCACCCTGTTGTCGGTGAGGTCGAGGAGCTCCCAGCCCTTGCTCTCCTCTAACACACCAAGGTGAAGACCCCATCGGGCCTTCGGCTTCAGTTTTCCACCACGCTACTGCTCGGGGAGCGGGAACTGCGCCATGCAGCCCCACACGCGTGCCAGCGACAAGTCGGGCTTCTTCCCGGTGAGCAACTGGTACGGCGTCGTCCCAGGCGACAGCGACGAGCGCTCCAGGCAGTTCCGTACCCAGACGGCCTGGCGCAGGGCGAGGTGCCACCAGTGGTGCTGCACGCCCATGTGCAACAGCATCGTCCGCACCGACTCCACCACCGTCCTCATCTCCCGCTCCGCCATGCCGTTCTGCTGCGGGGTGTACGGGCAGGTCAGGTCGTGGACGATCCCCTTGCCATCCACGAAGGCGGTGAACTCCTTCCCGAGGAACTCCCCTCCCCGGTCAGATCGCAGCTGCAGCACCGACTTCTTTGCCTGCCGCTCAACCAACACCAGCCACTGCGCGAACTCCCGCAGCAAGTCGGACTTCCTAGCGACCGGCTTCACCCACACGTAGCGGGTCTTGCGGTCCTTCAGCAGCAGGAAGTACAAGCTGCCATCCTTGGCGGCCACACGAAACGGCCCGCACAGGTCGATGTGCACGACGGCCAGGGCGTCCTCGGCGTCCGAGCCCTTGTCGGGGAAAGAGTGACGCGCCACCTTCCCGCCGACGCACGAGACGCAGGGTGAAGCAGCGCCGGACGCCGACGTAAGGTCCAGCCTGATGGCAACCTCGTACTTCGCCGAGCTCAGGATTGTGTCCATGCCGACATGCGCGAGCCTCGCGTGCAGCCTGTCTTGCGTCGTTTTTGCAGCCGAGACGATTGCCCGCAGAGCCACTGCTCCCGCTGCAGTCGTCGCTGAGCAGGGACATAGGTTGGTGTAGAGGACCTGGCCGGAGTACGTTGCTCGGCCGAGGACGTCGCCGGTCGCCGAGATGAGCAGCATCCCGTCGCCGTCGGCTTGCAGCTCCACGACGTTCTCTTTCAGCTAACCGGCCGACAGCAACTTCGCATGCACGCCTGGGACGAACAACACATTGGGGATGAGCACCCGCTTCTCGGCCTCACCTTGCAGTGCAGCCGTGCCTCGTCCCTTGACGTCCTGCAGCGCCCCATTGAAGCCACGCATCTGTTTAATGTCGCAGCTCGGCTACAGGTCGACAAAGACCTCCTTCGTCCCCATCAGGTGATGTGAGCAGCTGCTGACAAGCAGGACTATCCCCGGGTTCACCTGCACGGCTGCTGCCACCGCCTGGAAGTCCTCGCCGGCCTCCGGCGCCAGCGAGACGGTCGGCTCCACGACGCCGACCAGCGAGCACGACGCCTCCCCGTCGCCTCGCCCCTTGCCGCTAGCAGAGGAGTCGGCGTCCTTCGCCGAGGTCGACTTGTTCGACTGCTTCTCCTTGCGCGGCCTGCTTCCCCGACGTGGACGACGGCTGGCCGACCTTCCGCGCCCTCCCCTGGCGTCGTCGTCATCGGACTCACTACGGTCGGGGCATTCAAAGGAGAGGTGGTCGGGGTTGTGACAGATCCACCTCTCCCGACGCCGACCTCCCCCTCCGCGACCGCCGTCCTTGGCCGACTTCGTCGTGTCGGCATCCCTCCCCGGCTTCCCGCCACTGCTACCTCTGCCGCCAGGCTGACCATGCTGTCCCGGTCGGCCACTATGCTTCGCAAGGGCGGCGTAGTTCACCTGCGGCAGGAGCTCCGAGGACTGCTCAACTTCCTGCATCGCCTCGTCCCGCAGGATGTACGAGGTCAGGGAGTCCTCGTTCAGCGTTGCCCGCGTGCTCGGCACCACCGACAGCCGCTTCAGCAGGTTGTAGCTGCTTGGGAGTCCCTTCAGGACGTGCGTGACATACGACGCCGTGGAGTACTGCACGCCGGACATCCTCATGGTGGCGAGAAGTCGCCGAGCCCGGTTGCAGTAATCGGTCGCAGTCTCCTGGTCGCCCATCCGCAGATGCGTCATCTGCTCCTCGAGCTGGCCGATGTACAGGTCGTCAGTGACCTGGTACGTCGACTCGATGAAGTGCCACGCCTGGTGGCCGGCGTCCAGGTAGTCCCTACACGGCTTCAAGGCGATCTGCACGCCCGGCGAGCAGCACCGCGAAATGACCGTGAAGGTCAGCAGCTGCACAACGCGAAACTCCGCACGCAGGTCGGGGTAGTTCTCCGACGGCGTTGCCACGGTGCCGGCGGCGAAGCCCATCAGCCCGGCCATCTCCAGCTGAGGCTCGATGGCTTCCTTCCAGGTGAGGATGTCGGGGCGACCGACCAGCAGGGGGGTGACCGAGATCCTATCCGGTGTAAACTTGAAGTAGCCGTAGCTCGGCGCGATCCCTCCCGCCGTCACGTGAGTCGCCGACATCGGCGCCAATCCGCTTCGTCGGCCTCCAACATCGCCCTGCAAGGCCCCTACAGCCGCCGACGACTGCATTCCTCGCGCCTGAACGCTGCCGTCTTCCCCGGCGTGAATCACTCCCCTCGGCCTCGACGTGCCTCCCGCACTGCTGCCGACCTGGTCACCAGTGTTGACGCCCACGTCGATGCCGCCTGCGTTGTTCACCGGTCGGGGAGACGCCGGTCGGGAGGGGTGCTCCATCGCCCACACGGCGCGGATGCCAGCCTCGACGACCGCCAGCGGGAGAGTCCCGTACTCGTTCGCCGCATGGCGTCTCCTCGCATCCTCCAGCCATGCCTCCAAGGTGTCCACGATGCCCGCCTCAACTACGGGGTCCACCATGGCGTCCAACACAGCCGCCGGCCTACGAACAAGCTAGGTAAGTGCAAAGTCGGCTACACCGAAGGTATCGTTGCGGTGCCGTCCACGCTCACCGCACCATGCGGAGATAACTCTGTCAACGGGAGCTAGACTACGGGCTAGGCACGGGGTAGGAGTGATCTCTGCGTTCGTTCCTTAGTCGTTCACTTGTGCTCTCACTACTTGCTGGTTCACATGGGAATTTGGCAAGAGTTCCACTAGCAAGGGTTCACAACTATGAGGTTCAGAATGATGGCAACAACATTGGCATGCAAGGCTACATCAGAGCTAGCACAGCTGCTGGATGACTTCCAGCGCAGCATGGTCGACCGCGGTCCAGCGCAGCAAATCTCGCACCGCTCTAGCGCAGCAAAGTAGCGGCTTGCCAACGTCGCAAGTCTGCGGTGCGCCAATGCTGAAGCAAGTCGGCTGCACAGCGTTGCACCCGCAGGACAACGGTGCACCTGCTTCGCAGGTGCGTGCAGCTGGTTGGTGCTCCACACCTCGTCACGAGCACAGCGCAGATGCCTAGTAGACTCCACGCCAGCAACTGCGCCCGCCAGCCACGTCGACCTCGGGATACCACCCCCGAGGTCGCCTTCGCAGAAACCATCCCGGCGACTTTCGCACACGTCGCCCGGGTATCCCGGACGACCGGGCAACCCCGCCTGGTCGTCCAGCCCAGTCGGTCGCCAGCTACACCAAACCCGGCATCCCAGGGTCGGCGTCCTGGCGTCCAGGTCGGCGTCCAGCCTCCCAGGACGCCGAGCAGACGCCCAAGTCGGACGCCGAGTGGACGCCCAAGTCGGCGTCCACGCACCCAGGATGCCGAGCAAACGCCCAAGTCGGCGTCCAGACGCCCAGGACGCCGTGCTAGCGCCCAGGACGCCGCTCAAACGCCAAGGGCGGCGTCCACCTACTCGGCGCCCTCAAGCCAGGCGCCCCCCCAGCTCAACGCCCTTGCAGTGGCCCCCGTACCCACTGCTGCAGGTCGGCTGTGTCCCCCCGCACACCCGACCACGAGGTCGGCTCCGCCCAAGCGAGGACGGGGCCAAACACAACTCCCGTTGACACTCCCCTGCCGCGTTCACACTTGAGCCTCCAACCCATACGGCAGCACTGTTCGGAGAATAGCTCGGCGGCGTGCACACAACACACAGCACGCCGGACACCGCACCAGCCATACAGGAGGGTATGGCACCTACAGCTGCACTTCGTTGTCGTCGTCGCCGACTTGGGCCAGGCGCACTTGGCCGATCGCGACGGAGCACCGGTTGAAGGCCGGGTAGTGCAGCGCCTTCGTCAAGAAGTCGGCCGGCTGCTCGGTGGTCGGGATGTACCTCAACGCGAACTTCTCGCGCTTCACTATGTGCTGCAGCCAGGCCTGACGTCGCTCCATGTGCTTGAGGTTGCCCGTCAACCCCATGCCCCCGGCCACTATGATGGCCGACTTGTTGTCCACCCAAAGGACAGTCGGCTTCCCGGCGTCCAGCTGCTGGAACTCTGCGAGGAGGAAGCGAAGTCGGCGTCCTTCCTTCCCGGCTTCGGTGGCCGCCACGTACTCCGACTCGGTCGACGAGAGCGTCGCGCACTTGATGCGCTGGCTCGACCAGGAGACTGCGGCCCCTCCGTAGACGAACACGTAGCCGCCCGTGCTCGTCCGGTTCTGCTTGTCGCCGGCGTCGTCGGCGTCCACATAGCCGACCAGCTCCAGCAACCTCGGACCACCGCCGTACTCCAGGGCGGTGTCGCGCGTGTTGGCGAGGTAGGCGAGGCAGCAGTCGACCTCGCGCCAGTGCTGGTCGCTCCTCACCGTGAGGCCGCTCCCCAGCTTGCTGCAGGCAAAGGTGATGTTCGTCCTCGTCGTCGTCGCCGCGAACTACAGCGAGCCGACTTTCTGCCGGTACTCCTCCTCCTGGTGCTCCTGTGCCTCCTCGTCGTCGAAGGTGAGCTCGGCGTAGGCGTCGACGGAGACCGGCGTCTTCGGGGTCCGACCGCCCTGCTCCTCGTCGATGAAACGCCTACGCAGCTTGTCGGCGTAGCCCTGCTGGTGCAACCACAGCTTCCTCGCCGCCTGTCGCGCACGATCTCCAGGCCGAGGTACTTCTGCACTGGCGAAATCTCGCGCAGCTCGAAGGCGGCCTCCAGCAGCTCCTTCAGCTCCCTCAGCATCGCGGTGCTGCTGCTGGCGGCGAGCAGGTCGTCAACGTAGACCAGCACCCAACTGGCCACCTTGTCGACGCCGACTTTGAAGTACAAAGCCTCGTCGACGTGGCTCTTCTTCCATCCGGCGCCTACCAGCACGTCGTTGAGCGCCTTGTACCATAGCAGCTGCGACTGCTTCAGCCCATAGAGGCTCTTCAGCAGCTTGCACACCCGGCCGGTCCCGTCGTTGAAGTAGTCCGGCTGGGACATGTAGAGCACCCGGTCGAGCTTGCTCTGCAGAAAGGCGTTCTTCATGTCCAGCTGCATCAGGTTGAGGTCGAGGACGGCGACGATGCTGAGGAAAATCCTCAGCGTGACGTAGCTGCTCACCGGCGCGTACGTCTCGTCGTAGTCGGTGCCATACACCTGCGTGAAGCCTTTCACGACCAGCCTCGCCTTCTCGCGCTCTACGGTGTCGTCGATGCGGTACTTCGTCATCAGCACCCACCGGTTCTTCATGATGTTGACGCCGGGAGGCCGCTCAACGAGCTCCTACGTGCCGTTAGCGATGAGGCTCCGTATCTCCTCGTCCATGGCGGCCTTCACAGCCTTGCCTTTCCAGCTCGCCAGCGCCTCCTTCACCGTCATCGTGGAGATATCCCAACGGTGCTCGGGGTCGGCGTGCATGTCAGGGTCGAGCTCCGGCAGGTCCTCATCCTCCTCGGCGTCATCGTACGCCAGGTCGTCGTCGTCGATGTCATACGCCGTGGTGAAGGCGGCCGGGACGAAGAAGTCGGGCGCCCTCCGAATTTGGCCTGTACGCCGTGGCCCGGGCTTGACCTCCACCACATCACTGTCAGTGGACTGCCCGGCGTCCGACTGCTCCCCTTCAGCTTCGCCGGCTGCACAGTCCTCGGCGTCCTGCTGCACCAAAGCCGGCGTCTCAGCGGACTTCTCCCCTATTGTCGGCTCCCCCACTAACATCTCCGTTGCTGACAGCTTCCTTGTTGGCTCCATTGTCCTCTGCTCCCCTGTCGGCAGCTTCCCTACAGCCGCCCCCTTTGGCGGCATGTTCTCCTCGGCCTGCTGCTCTGCATCCACGCCGACTTGCTTGACGCCTCGTCGGCCACCGGCGATGCCCGTGGCCGGCGCCACAGGCGACGCCCCACTGCTCCCCTATATCGCCGGAGGCCGACGTCGGTGTCAGCGCGTGCGGAACGGCGACGGGAGGAGGAACGGCCTCCTCGGCGTCCTCATCAGCACGCTCACCGACCTCGGCGAGCAGAAGGAGTGTCGCGGTGGAGGTGTCCGGCAGCGAGGTAGCCGGCTCTTCGCGTTTGTCATCGCTAGTGCTGGGCTCGTGATATGAACAGGAATGTAGTGCATTCAATTTTCCTTTATTGTAACATGGCATTGTAACAATTTGACTTTTGAGTTGACTCAGACACAAAAAAAAAAAAAAACGTTACACTAGTTTAAGACCCACTTTGTTTTTTACAATATCATCGTAATACCATAGGTTCATTTATCCGAAGGGGATACGATGGCGGTTGACACGAACAATGCCCATCGGACGAGCTGAAATCCGCTATGAATGCATGGATTGCACAACTGAGAGCGTGTCTCGTGTATATGCCTGGTCCGGAATTCTTGTCTGACAGACCCATTTGGCATACCAGCCCTGGACCAGAAATGGATTGGGCTTGATATGTTACGCCTTGGCCTGTACAATCGTATGTAATAGTAACGACAAAAGGCATACTTGTTGAAAGCCAGTTACCCTTTTTCAACTGACCGTTAGAAACTTTCCAAAAAATATTGCACGAAAATTACAAGTAACTAGAGAGTTCGCACAAAAAAAAAAAAAAAAAAATAGCAATCATTGTTTACAGACCAAGCGCGGACTGGTTTCTGACCAAATCGGAGAAGATATCCCGCATCTTGGTCCTGTCTGTTATGGACAGTAGAATGAGTAACACTGTGCATTCCTATAAGTAGCAAGTGAAGAGTGCAAAAGCGAGTACGAATGCAAAAGGTCAAAACGACGCGAAAGTTCGCATAGCATCTGGACCGTCGGAGCAGAAGCATCGAGTAGCTGCAACGAGGAATTGGCAGAAACATGTTCGTAACCGGTTCCCCTGTCGCACGGTTGTGTTTCGCTACAATAAGAGAATGTAGCTGGCTAGCTAGGACATCTCGTCTTCCTTTCGAATTATTATAGGAACCAATGTAAGCCCCTGTTATAATCACTTCAGTCATGTTACATTCACTCTGATATGATATCAACTATTTTTGCTGCAACTACTCTGTGCGAACCTTCCTGAGGCGATCTTGGCACGACTAGACTTCTCATCGCAACGCCGTTCACGCGCAGGTTCTCGAGCTGATCAATGAGGTTCGCATCGGACCCACGTGGACTCGCGCATTTGAGACACGCCCCGAAATTCAGGAAAGTAGAAATACCTAAGGGCGTGGCACATGTTTTCTGCCAACGCACATGGGCCGAAGTTGTTGCCAAAATAGATTTTCGCCGAGATTCGCAAAATACGCCCAATAAATGGTTGTGACAACAGCTGACATGTTAAACTGTATTATGCTTGTAGGCTGTAGTGGGGTAGCCAATATGGGGTACAACCCTAACTAGGGTTTCATATTTGTACCCAAATTTCTGCTAGTTCAATCATTCTTGCCTAGCTATTCTGAAATGGTATCAGAGCGAAGGTCTCGGGTTCGAATCCCGGTGTGTGCACCTCGGGCATCCCAGTGCGAGGGGGTGTCAGAGGTCCACTGGTGATCCCCGATTGATCCTAGGGAAGGGTTACAGGCACGTTGGCCTGGGGGGTTATGGGCGCACTCACCCGCTACACAAAAAAAGCCCTTTTATCCCAGTGGTTAGTGACTGGGATTCTGACATGGTATCAGAGCGAAGGTCTCGGGTTCGAATCCCGGTGTGTGCACCTCGGGCATCCCAGTGCGAGGGGGTGTCAGAGGTCCACTGGTGATCCCCGATGATCCTAGGGAAGGGTTACAGGCATGTTGGCCTGGGGGGTTATGGGCGCACTCACCCGCTACACAAACAAGCCCTTTTATCCCAGTGGTTAGTGGCTGGGATTCTGACATGGTATCAGAGCGAAGGTCTCGGGTTCGAATCCCGGTGTGTGCACCTCGGGCATCCCAGTGCGAGGGGGTGTCAGAGGTCCACTGGTGATCCCCGATTGATCCTAGGGAAGGGTTACAGGCACGTTGGCCTGGGGGGTTATGGGCGCACTCACCCGCTACACAAAAAAAGCCCTTTTATCCCAGTGGTTAGTGACTGGGATTCTGACATGACAAGGCCAGTCAACTTTTCTGCTACCACTTGGATGAAATCATGAATTTTTCAGAGCTAGGAAACACGTGGCACCCTTGAAAGAAGGCCTAGATGCAGCCCAATTTGGCCTGCAAAATCAAGACACGTCACGTCCACCGAATTTGCAAGATCGGGGGAGGATCGGCGTTGCAGACCAATCTTTATAGGGTCGATCGCCACACCGGTGTTCCCAACTGCCGATTTGCAATCGCGGGGCTCCATTGGGCCACAGGTGACAGAATTAAAAATTTATAGGGCAAATTTTCACGATCGCCACAATTGTGCGATTGATCGCAGGCTGGAGGCACATCGATCATGCGAGCCACAGATGACACAATTTTGGTGACCATTTTACTGCACACCACCGAAAAGAGGAAGCTACGGGATACCATGCTAGTAGTGAGGTCGCTAAAATACTATACACTCTGCATACCGATCGCAACCGATCCGCCGAAATGACATGGGAGTTGACGCGTCCTCGGTTCCATTTAGCAAATAATAGCTTTCTACTCTCTCGCGCAACTGTTGAGGGATAGTGATGCTTGGCCGAAATGTGCCCACTCTCGTTCGACTTAAATTCGTCGGCCCCAATTGTCCATGCTTCTAGAAGTTAACGAGAGGGGGTTTTTCTGGGTTTTGGTCGAAAGTTTCCTGTTTCGTTTTTTTTTTTTTTTTTTTACCAAACCTAGTAAGCCCTCGTTTTTCTCCTTGGTGGGTGGGTCAGTCTTTGGAAGTCCCGAGTTGCAGGTGCGCTACTTTTCAAAGCTTGCTGACTCCTCTTCGTCAAGTTTAAAAAACTTGACCCGCGCGCTCCGCAACACGTGGGAACAAGGTAAGAGGATTTTTAGGCTGAAATGTTCCCACGTGTCTCACTGTTCAAGTCACCAAAAATTCGGCCAAGGATGTAACCCGCTTTAGTAAGGGCGTGTAAGATCCCCGTGCATCACAATGCGGCCATCAAAATTATGTGGCCGTTGCGAAAGTAACCCTGTCATGATCGTCGTCTATAGGTTTGTGGTTTGGTGGCCAAAAAACAAGTCAACAGTTTACCAATACATGGTCGGCATCAACTCAACTGTGTGGTTGACAAGGGCTAGCTACTGTACAGTAGACAATGACATCGCATATGCTGCTACAGTGAAAACGCGACATCGCATACCTGTGTACGACGTCACCGCACCAAGTCGTAAAAACGAACAAACCGAAATCTTCCACCTTTGCTACATTGGCCAGCAAATCCGATGCAAGGCGCAGGGTCGACGTTTCAATTTTTAGGCTCCCTGACCCAAAAAAAAAAAATCCCTAGTCTGAAGGCATTTCGGCCAGAAAACGGGTAGTCTGATTGCTCAGTGATGAGAAGATCCGTTGCGGCCGGGTCCTCAGTACCAGTAGGAGCTCCAGCGTCCGGGTCCACAGCACCAGCAGCAGCTCCACCGGCCGGGTCCTCAGCACCAGTAGTAGCTCCAACGCCCGGGTCCTCAGCAGCAGCAGTAGCGCCACCGCTCGGGTCCTCAGCTCCAGCAGCAGCTCCACCGTCCGAGTCCTCAGCACCAGCAGCAGCTCCACCGTCCGGGTCCTCAGCACCAGCAGCAGCGCCACCGCCCGGGTCCTCAGCTCCAGCAGCAGCTCCAACGTCCGAGTCCTCAGCACCAGCAGCAGCTCCACCAGGCGGGTCCGCAGCACCAGGAGCACCACTCCGAAGACTGCAGCGGCGTGTGTACCACTCGCGGATCTGCTGAATGGGGGGGAGCTCCTGGGTAGGAGGGGAAGTACCGGGACGAGCTCCAGCAGCACCTCTCCGGAGGCGGCAGTACTCGAGGTACCTCTCCTGCAGCTGCTGGGAGGAGAGGGCTCCTCCAGGTGTAGCACGCGCAGGCTCAGCACCCCCAGACTCAGCACCCCCAGACTCAGCACCCCCAGGCTCAGCACCTCCAGGCTCCGCACCTCCAGGCTCCGCACCTCCTGGCTCAGCACCCCCAGACTCAGCACTCCCAGGCTCAGCACCCCCAGACGTAGCACCCCCAGGCTCAGCACCCCCAGACGCAGCACCCCTAGGCTCAGCACCCCCAGACGGACGAGAGTCAACAGCTACCTCGACAGGCTCACCCGGGTCTACCTGGGACACACCTGAGGGAGCGGCACCCTGAGGGGGGAGGGGGTCTGGTACCTCAGCACCTGGAGCGAGGAAGAGAGGCGGGGGGGGGAGCGGGGCAGTGCGGTAGGGGAAGAGGCGGTAGTAGGGGACGGACTCGTCAAAAGTGACGTCCTGAGAGGCCAGGACACGACGCGAGGTGGGGTGGTAGAACTGCCAACCAGGGGCGTCCGGGACAAAGCCAAGGAAGACGCAGGGGACAGCGCGACGGGAGAGCTTGTCCGCGGACGTGTCGCGGACAAAAGCTCGGGATCCCCAGACCCGAAAACGCGACGCATCGCCAGCCTCTCCCGTCCAACGCAGTGTCGGAGAAGTCTCGGGCAAGGAGACACGGGGCCAGAGGTTGAGCTGATGCGCAGCGTATCGAACTGCAAACGGCCACAGAAAATGGGGGGCAGCCGCATGGCTCAAGGAGGTACGAGCGACCTCCATGACCAGACCAATGCGGCGCTCAGCAACCCCATTCTGCTGTGGAGAGGCCGGAAGCGTGTACGACTGCGCAATGCCCTCCTGCTGACAGAAGGCCTCCAATAGGCCAGAGGAAAACTCCCCACCTCTGTCAGAGTGCAGACGCAGGACAGGGAAGTCGGAGTGGAAACGCTTGCTGAGCTGGAGACGAGATCTGCGGATCCAAGGGATCAAGACATCAGGGACGTCACCCTTGGCGCGCAAGGGGAAGACCGTGGTGTAGCGTGAGAAGTCGTCAACAACAATCAGGAAGTACCTCTCCTGACCCTGACCACGGACGCGGGCTGGGCCCCACACGTCCATGTGGAGCGTCTGCAAGGGAGCAGTCGTCGGGGGAAAGGAGGAGGAGTGAGGAGCGGCGCGCTGCCGTCCCTCGACACAGGGAATACAGGGAGGAGCAGGCGAGTCGGGAAGGGGAGGGAGCACCCTGGGAAGACCAGCAACA